ATATACATATATATATTGGGTTTTTATTTCAATTATCAATCCGAATAAAAATTACAATAACAATCATTATTGTTAGTGTAATTATAATAACGTTAATAACAAAGATGTAGTAATAATTTGAAAAATCCACATACGACCACTAGCGCTTTTACTCCATGTGAAAGCACTTCAAATCATTCATGTAAACTTAATGAAAATAACAAATCAGCTGAAATACATAAAAAGTACATATATAAAAATGTAGTTGTCCCAAGGATTAACATACCACGAGCCGGTGCTGAACATACGACAGAAACTAACACAATCATCCATATAAATCGCTGAAGAATCGTTTGGTACATGCTGCTTGTTTTTCTCTTCTCTAAATACAATTCAATACGTTAATTATATACAAGAACGAATACTGCAATGAAATACTCCTATTTAAGGTACGTATGATTTCTAAGAACGATCCTCGGTGTTATTTCTGTAACTCCTTGCTAAACGTAAGATGGCCCGTCTTCGTGCGTTGTTCTTCACCTAATGAGTTATATTTCCGCCTAGACGTCCAAACGTTCATCGCCTACCTCTTTTCCATCATGTTTTTTTTCTTTCCGCTTCTTTCGGCCGTTAGCTGCGTCAATCGTTCCTTACTTAACATATTCTGACGTCACAGCGGTATCACTTTGATCTGTGCTCTAAGGTAATTTGTCGTTGCCAGTGACGATTGAATGGGGATTGGCCAAACTGTTGCTAAGCAACCAATAATTATTTCATCTAACATTGAATTTGCCATTCGTATCTAGTTGAATTGATTCGGCCGATGTACCGTATGCTGAGCGTTTAATAAAACAGGGAATTATTATCCAACCACAAACACTAAATAAAACCATGAAGGTTGGTTGATTTCAGGTTTTCGAAATGCTTAGACGTGACAATAACCTTGTCACCGACGCTATATTAGTAATCATAATCGATTATTAACATTAAAACAACTTTGTATATATATATACGTTGTCTTGAATTTTTCGTTAATAGAGTGGACTTTTACCCAATTTGCAATCCCGTGATATAACAATCAGACAGGCAAAACAATGTTTTTTTATTCTGATTAATTTATTCATGTTTTCTCTAATCAGTGTTTCATTTAACCAACAGCTAGGCCTATATTGCAAAATGTATCTTATACACAACTTCCATATTATTAGGAAATATTCATTTCAGTTTGGAATCATTGTATGTTTAGTAAGGATGAAGATGGCTAGGCCCACCAAATACAGTTTTACTCCGGTTTTGTGACTGTAGATTTTGCTTACGGTATGTTTTTGACTACCAAAATGGCACTAATAATAACAGAAATAATAATAAATAATAATAACAAATTAAAAAATAATAACAATAATTAGCAATAACGAAAATATTCATAAAAATATATTAATATTAAACGTATCAATAATAATATTATGCAAGATATTGTGTTTTATCAATTTAATGACATTCCGGAAACATATTAAACAACTTATATTATATCTTTATTCATGAACTCTAGAGATGGAGAACTTACAACAGAAGATTAATCAAAAGACGCTGCAACTTGAGATAAGGGAGGACCATTTGACAAGATATATAGTCATGGGCCTTTCATCATGTTCGTTCTTAGTATCGAAACCCTACAGAACCACGACTTTAGATTTTTTTTTTATCTAGTTCATAAACAAGAACACTTGTAGGCCTATAGTTATTAGTAGGCCTACTGCATCATTGGTAATTTATTTACATGCAATAATACAGCGCAATATAAACGCCTACTCTTTTCACTCATCTTTTACCATATCAAGCTTGCTTCCGCATTGACGCGTTTCAAACGCAAGATAACAGAAGTAACGCATGTACAGAGGCCACGACGACAATCTCCTCTTGCGAAAACGCTTAGCCGCGTCGAGCCTTACGTTTTTAGAACGATTTTGCATCCGCAGTTAACAACTGACCAATCAGAACAGAATTAGGAATGCGCGTTGTGTCCCACAAGCACACATGTTGTTGTGCCACATGATCGTATTTACGAATACGTACGATGGATTTTTGGCACAATATCTACAATATCCAAGGGAGGGTGGGGTTAGTGGAACGGTCCATTCCATTTCGCAATGAAACTTGAACCACTTAAGTTAGTACGCGTCTAATTTCACACAGAAAATCGACTTTGTGGGGAATAGAGTAGGCGTAGACATTTTTATGTTTGATAAAAACGCATCTTAATAAGCCCTGATGTGATCTTAAAGCAAATTAAATAATTTGTCAGTTAATTTGATTCCGTAGGCTTGCCTAATAGGCCTATGCGTAGAGAGAATTATAAAGAAGACAAATAAATTGGAATATAGTTTTCAATTGCAGATGGTTACATCTGGTAGCGCCTAAGAGTTTTAGAACAATACATACAAGTAAGATTCAAGTAAGACGCGTACACACACATATACATATATATATATATATATATATATATATAT